CAACGTTTTTTCTCTTGCTAATTTCCCCTGCAACCCCCTATAAAAACAGCCTCAGGCTCTGAGCCAGTTGCCTCTCTAAGCTACTTTGCTTTGGGAGTGCTGTCTGGCCAGACTAATAAAGGTCTGTTATGCTTTCCAACTTGTCCAGTGTGTTCCTTCTCGGGTGTTCTTCACTGCAGTCAGCTCCTCAGAGCGTTTGGTAAGGCCCCCGGTCTTACATTTTGGAGGCCCCAGTGAGATCCCCAGGTAGGAACCCTGGTTCACCTAAGACTCTGTGGTGGGATCCAGCAGGAGACTCTTGGGTACAGACCTCAGAAAACCTCCGGAGGTAAGCTCTTTGCCAGTTGCAACCGTTTGTTAAGTCAGGAGTGAGGTGGCTGATGAGCCAGTAAGCCTCCCCTGATCCCAAGATTCCTGACGAGGAACAAGGGGAGATTTAGTTTCACTTCTGTTGTGGTGCCCGTTTGTCTTGTCATTCATACATTAGTGTCCTGTCAGTTGTGTCTTTAATTTTATATTTCCTTCCAACCCATCAAGGGCAGAGATGGGAGGATCCTGCTCCAAAAATACCCCATTGGACTGTTTTCTCACTAATTTTAAATTGGCTTTTTCCCCCCCGAACAGGAGGACGAATATGGGGTTAAATTCTCCGTGGAAAACTTCACTCCCTGTGTCAATTGGAATGGCCAGCCTTTGCAGTTGGATGGCCAGCCCAGAGCTCCTTTGAGCCAAGCCTCTGTCGGGCTGTATGGAGAAAAGTCACTGGTCACCTGAGCCACCCTGACTAGTTTCCTTATATAAATATCTGGGTCCAGGCTTGTGAAGAGCCTCCGACTTGGCTACAGCATTGTTCCCTGTGAACAGACACTTGCATTCTGGTTATGGCACCAAGGGGACCCCAAGAGGTCAAAACCCAGTCTCCCAAGCCGGTGCTCTCACAAGATCCTGATCCCTTAGACCTCTTAATAAGACCTCCACCCTATGTGGAGCCATCCACCTCCTCTGATAAAGCCAGCCCCAGATCTTGAAACCCTTTCTACCCTCCTCTTCCCAAAGAGGAAAAATCTCCGGATTCTGTAATCTCTCCCTCCCACACGCAAACAGGGGCTGCTTATGGTCCCAGTGAAGCTCCCTCTGAGGGGACTGGTTCAGTTCCTCTTTTGCCTCTTCAGAAAACAGAGCAGGGTCATTATGTCTATATCCCTTTTTCTACCAGTGACTTATACAATTGGAAACATCAAAATCCCCCTTTTGCAGAAAAACCCCAGGCTTTGATCTCCCTCCTAGAATCTGTTTTTCATATCCATGATCCTACCTGGGATGACTGTCAACAACTCCTCCAAGCCCTTTTTACCTCTGAGGAAAGAGAAAGAATTCAAGGGCAAGCCATAAAATCAGTATTGGGAGGAACAGAAGGGCCCTCTTGATGAGCAACAATGAGCCCATATCAAGGCGCAACTTCCATCCACCCATCCCCGGTGGCAAGCTAATTCCTCGGGCAGGAGAGAAGCTCTCCAAAACTACCATCAGCATCTCCTAGCCAGCGTGAAAGGAGCTGCTCAGAAGCCTACCAATTTGAGCAAGGTAAGCGAGGTCCTCCGAGGACCTGAGGAATCCCCTTCTGCCTTTCTGGAGCGTCTGTTGGAAGCATATTGTACGTATACTCCAATTGACCCAGATGCCCCTGCAAACCGACAGGCAATTAATTTGGGTTTTGTTACTCAGTTGGCCCCAGATATTAGGAAGAAATTGCAGCGGATGAAAGGGCTTGAGGGGGAAAATAGGGAAAAACTGATGAGTGTAGCTATGAAGGCATTTAATAACAGAGATCCTTTAGATGACAAAATGGCTAAAAAGATAGGAAAAGCAACTATTGCAGCCTTAGCAGATGGAGGTTTCATCCAAAAGGAACGAAAAGAGAATAGAAAAGAAGATAAAAGTAAAGTACGGCCCCTGTTAGAAAAGGACCAATGTGCATATTGCAAACAGAAGGGCCATTTTAAAAGGGACTGTGAAAAGCTGAAAAGAAAGAGAGAGAAAGAGGCTAGGAGAGAAAGAGACGGGGTTCTTCTAGTAGATGAAGAAGATTGACGAGGCTGAGGCTCATGGCCGCTTAACCCTAATGAGCCTATGGTGACTTTGGAAATGGGAACAGATGTCCAATTCCTTGTGGACACTGGCGCAGCCCACTCTGTCCTGAAGACCCCCCTTGGAACCCTTTCTTCCCTAAAGTCCTCCATTACCGGAGCCACAGGAAAGTCGGCCTCTTATCCTTGGACCACTAAACGAACTGTAAATCTGGGAAGAGGCACCATCACTCATTCCTTCTTAGTCATCCCTGAGTGCCCATACCCGTTGCTGGGAAGAGATTTGCTACAAAAATTGGGGGCTGTTATTTCCTTTGAGCCTGAAGGAGGGACTTTTGAAATCAAGCCACCCTCTGCCATTATGGTAACGGTTCCCCTTGAAGATGAATTTAAGCTGCTAAAGAAGGGCACAGAAACCCCCGAACAGAAATGGGACTACCTTCAGAAAAAGTTTCCTCGGGTGTGGGCTGAGACCAATCCACCTGGGCTGGCCAAACACCATGCCCTGGTGGTGGTTCAATTGCTGGCCTCTGCCACCCCCACCCATGTGCAGCAGTACCCTCTCTGGCTGGAGGCCAAGGTGGGGATCTCCAAACACATCCAGTGACTCCAGGAAGCCGGCATCTTGGTCCCTTGCCAGTCAGCCTGGAATACACCCCTGCTTCCTGTGAGGAAGCCTGGCACCTCAGACCTCAGGCCAGTACAGGATTTGCAGGAGGTAAACAGCCGGGTGGAGACTGTCCACCCAACAGTACCAAACCCCTATACTCTGTTGAGTCTCATCTCTCCTGCTCATGTGTGGTACTCGGTATTAGACCTCAAAGATGCATTTTTCAGCCTGCCCCTAGCACCAGTGAGCCAGCCCCTCTTTGCCTTCAAATGGACTGACCCAGTCACCGGGACTACCAGACAGCTGACATGGACCCGGCTGCCACAGGGATTCAAACACTCCCCCACTCTGTTCAGGGAAGCTCTCAGCAAGGATTTACAAGAGGTAAAGAGAGTGTTTCCCCAAGTGACTATTCTTCAGTATGTAGATGACCTCCTGGTGGTGACTTTGACCGATGAAGAGTGTCTTGCAGCCACCGAGGGCCTCCTGGAAGCCCTCCAAGACCTGGGATATCAGGTGTCTTGGAAGAAAGCTCAGCTCTGTCAGACCAAGGTAACCTACTTGGGCTATATTCTTGAGAAGGGAAAGAGGAGGCTGGCAGAATCGAGGATATCCACAATTCTCCAGATTCTGGGGCTGAGCCCAAAGAAACAGGTGCAAGAGTTCCTAGGGATGGTTGGGTATTGCAGAATTTGGATTCCTGGCTTCACTGAGATTGCCAAACCCCTGCATGAAGCCACTGGAGAAGGAAATAAGCCCCTCAAATGGACTGAGGCTTACCAGCAGGCATTTCAATCACTTAAGACTGCGCTTGCATCAGCACCAGCCCTGGCATTGCCAGACTTAAACAAGCCCTTCACCCTGTATGTAGCAGAGAAAAATGGGGTAGCCAAGGGAGTGATTACTCAGCTTTTGGGGCCATGGAAGCGGCCTGTGGCATACCTCTCGAAGAAGCTCGACCCAGTGGCCCGAGGGTGGCCTACTTCTCTGAGGACAGTAGCAGCAGCAGCTGCTTTAACCTGAGAGGCTGACAAATTGACCTTCAGACAGGATTTGACTCTGATCACTCCCCATGCCATTGAGCCCTTGTTGAATAGCTCACCTAGAAAATGGCTGTTTAATGCCAGACTGTTACAATACCAAGGACTCTTGTTAGAACAGCCACACATTAAGTTTGCCACCACCCCTAGCCTCAACCTGGCTACTCTACTCCCAGAATCCGACAAACAGATGCCCATCCATGATTGCCTCAAGACTCTTGAAAACTTGAGGGGAGTGCATCTGGATTTGACGGACCAGGCCCTCCCCCGTGCAGAGACAATGCTCTACACTGATAGGTACAGTTTTGTGTGTGACGGAGTGTGGTATGCTGGGGCGGCGGTGGTCAACCAGGACCAACAGGTGGAATGGGAGCAGGGGGTACCTCAAGGGACATCAGCACAGAGGGCTGAGCTGATTGCTTTGACTAAGGCTTTGGAACTGGGGAAAGGAAAAAGGATAAATATATTCACCGAGAGCCGTTATGCTTTTGCCACTGCCCATGTGCACAGGGAGATTTATCAGAATAGGCTGCTGACCTCCGAAGGAAAGGAAATTAAAAACAAGACTGAAATATTGGCATTACTACAAGCCATCTGTTTGCCCCGAGAGTTTGCCATCATCCATTGCCGTGGGAACCAAAAGGGGTCTAGCCCCGAGGTGATTGGTAATAATGCTGCTGATCAGGTGGCAAAACAAGCTGCCCAAAAATCAGTGGGGAAGCAAATGGTTTTGCTACCCATGCCAGTACTCCCAGAAAAACCTGAATACACAGATAAAGAAGTGGCAGAAATGAACAGGAAGCACTGGACTCAAGGAAAACATGGGTGGTGGATGACTAATGATGGAAGGGTGGTGCTCCCCGCCACTGTAGCACATACATTGCTGCGCGAACTACATGAGTCCACCCACCTCGGTGAGAAAAGAATGATGGCTGCCCTGCGACCCCATTTTGTCAGCGAGGGATTGGCCCAAAAAGCCCAGGACATGGTGAGACGATGCCCCACCTGCCTCAAGGTAAATGCAAATTGGGTGACCGGGCCCTCTGGGGTCCGACACAGAGGATTAACTCCAGGAGAACATTGGGAATTGGACTTTACTGAAATGAAGCCTGGCGTGTAGGGTATAAATATTTGCTAGTTTTTGTGGATACCTTTTCAGGATGGGTAGAAGCATACCCCACTAAGAGGGAGACAGCTGAAGTAACAGTCAAAAAGCTCTTGACAGAAATAGTTCCCCATTTTGGCTTGCCCTTAGCTCTGGGGTCTGACAATGGTCCAGCCCTTAGGGCTAAGATATCTAAATTAATTAGTAATATCCTTGGAATAAAGTGGAATCTACACTGTGCCTATAGGCCTCAAAGTTCAGGACAGGTAGAAAAAACAAATCAAACTTTAAAGGAGATTCTAACTAAATTATGCTTAGAGACTGAACTAGGTTGGGTAGAGCTTCTCCCTTTGCCCTCCTCTGAACTAGGTGCACTCCTAAACCTCCCCTAAATCTGTCTCCCTTCCAGATTGTTTACGGACGATTTCCCCCAATCATCCCTTTAGTAGATGTTGAATTAAAGGAAAAGCTTTCCCACCTTCGACTCCTTAAATCCTTAAAAGCAGTCCATCAGCTTCATTTGGAGCTACATGATAAATTACGGAAGACTATGCCTAGTCCCAATGAAAAACCTTTGCAACCTTTACCCTATAAACCGGGAGATTTGGTTTTTATTCTCAGGTTTGATTCCAAGACCCTAGAACCACGTTGGAAGGGACCGGTTCCTGTTGTCCTGTCAACTCCCTTGGCAGTGAAGATAGCTGGACATTCTGCCTGGAAACATCGCAACCATCTGAAGGCAGGACCCCCTGCGGATGTCACGAAGGACAAATGGAAGGTTATCAGCCAACCAGGTGACCGAAAGCTGAGACTGGGGAGGGTTGGAGATATTTCTCATTCATGATAATATTCTCTGGGACACTGGCGGTACTGCCCCCAAGAAAATTGGACCACACTGGAAATGTATGGTTCAACTGGCAAAATCACTTAATCTGTCTGAATTCTGTCTAAATATAGATGTAAATTTCCATTATGTATTAGGAAGCTGTCTCATTCCAGTGTGTACCCCTTTAAGTTTAATACGGCCCTATACCCTGTTTAAGGATATCCCAGGGAAAAAAATCTCACTTTATAAAGATAGTTACAATTGGGGCATTCCTCATGTCATAAACCTAAAAATGCTGACAAATTATATACACCCAGGATAATTATGTCAAATAATACCCAACGTGCTATATATGTAAATTGTACAACCAAGTGTCTGAGAATAAAACGATCTGAAGGGATGCCCTGCCATATAAAACAGAAAATTGTGTATAACAATTGCCATATCTCCCTGCCAACAGGATGGTTTTATACCTGTGAAGGAATAACTTTCAATTATATTCCAGCCAATTTAACCAAGACCCATTGCAGCTTGAGTCGTCTAGCTGTAGTTTTACCAGATAAAACTGATTTGATTATGCCAAATAGAACTAAATGTTGGTCGCCTTATACTGCGCCAGGATGTGATGATGATGTAAGTCTTTTGACAGATGCTAAAGTGATATCTATGATAGCATCTTTTGTTGCTCTGCCTTCCATAGGAGTCCATGCTGAAAAGGTGGTATGAAAATTAGCTTGCAAGGTGGTCAAAGGGTTAAATGCTACCTCATCAGCCTTGGCATTAATTAACCAGGAGTTACAAGAACAGAGACAGGCAATCTTAGATAATAGAGCAGCTATAGACTATTTGTTGCTCTTTCATCATCAAGGTTGTGAAAGAATAAAAAATATGTGTTGTTTCAATCTGACTGACAATAGTCCAGGAATTAGAGAAAAGATAAAACAGTTGGAAGACTTGGCTAAAAGGGTACATGACGAAAAAGTAGGATGGGACTTGTTCCAGTGGCTAACTAAATGGTTGCCCAACCTACAATGGTTAAAGCAACTTTTTCTCGTAGTTATAGTTGTGTGCATATGCTTAATATTGTCGTGCTGCTGTATACAATGGATGCCCACATTTATACATAAGATTACTTAAGTTGTAAAATCAGTGGGGAATGTGGGACCGCATAACTCTGTAATCATAAAGGCTCCCCTAGCCCCAACATAGTGATTGATTGTGAGTTAATGGTTAAAATGTGCTTGTTAGTTCTGGGACACTAGATAAAATCTGTAACAAACATAGAGTTCCTAAGTGAATTATCCAACTCCTTGTTTGTCAGAAACCGATGTTCTGACACAGCTATCTATAAGACAATCTGCAAACATCTTTTGACCATCAACGTTTTTTCTCTTGCTAATTTCCCCTGCAACCCCCTATAAAAACAGCCTCAGGCTCTGAGCCAGTTGCCTCTCTAAGCTACTTTGCTTTGGGTGTGCTGTCTGGCCAGACTAATAAAAGTCTGTTTTGCTTTCCAACTTGTCCAGTGTGTTCCTTCCCGTGTGTTCTTCACTACAGTCAGCTCCTCGGAGCATTTGGTAAGGCCCCCGGTCTTACATGGGGATTTAGCTCAGTGGTTCTGCTGCCTGCCTGTCAAGCACAAGGTCCTCAGTTCAATCCCCAGTACCAAAAAAAAAAAAAAAAGAATTTTCCGGATGAATCAGTAAGAAACTTGGGAAGGGTTTATTTATTAGGCAGGGATTTTAGAACACATTCGAGAATGGAGTGCGGGTGCTCAAAGAAATAAGGCACATTACAGTTTGGAACTGGAAATATTTATGTGATTTTGGCCATAGAAATCTGTGAAATTTGATAACCTATACTTTTGATTTGGTGGTTGGGGAAAGATAGCCTATCCATAGTAAAATAATCTTTCTGAGTTGTAGGCCTAAAGTACTGATGAAAAGGTGGCCTACAACAACCATTTGCATTGACCAGGGATTTAGCTCAGTGGTTTTGCCGCCTGCTATGCAAGCACAAGGACCTGAGTTCAATCCCTGGTACCAAAAAAAAAAAAAAAGAACCATTTGCATGTAAACAGGGAATGGCTGAAACCATTTGCAGGTGAAAGGGAATTGCTGAGGCTTATTGTGTTCTGGAAGAAGAGAGAAAAAATGCTGGGCAGGGTTGCGCATGCTTCTAATCCCAGCACACTGGGAGGCTGAGCCAGGAGGATCATTGCTAGTTTGAGGCCAGCCTGAACTACATAGTGAGTTCAAGGCCAGCCTGGACTACATAGCCAGACTGTCTCAAAAACAAAAACAAATGAGAGAGAGAGAAAAAGAGACAGAGAGACAGACAGAGAGAGAGAGAGAATCTAGGTTCCTTGTGTCCTGAAGCTGTAGTTTTCATTTTTTAAATTGTGATTTTCCTTGTCTTCTTTTTACCTACTTCTTAGTTCTTGTATCTTACCTCACTACAAGGCTACATCTCAAGTATTTATTTATTTATTATTCTTTTATTCATTTATTCATTCATTTACTCATTCGTTTATGACAAGGTTTTGCTGAATTGCCCCAGTTGAACTTGAATTTGTAATCCTCTTGCATCGACATCCCGACTAACCAGGATTACAGGCATATACCACCTTACCCAATACTAACTTTTTTTTTCGGTACCAGGGATCGAACTCGGGACCAGAACCACCTAGCTAAATCCCCAGCCCCAACACTAACATTTTTTAAAGCACATCATTTGCTAAGAAATGAATGATACATATGTATTTAGACTTTTTGGTTTTGGTTTTGTTCTGTGGTTTGAAGCAGGTCCTCATACATCTTAGAAAGGTGCTCTTCCAGCAAGCCATCCCCCCAGCATAAACTTAAGCATTACTCAGTACTCATATTTCATAGCACTAACCTGCTCTATAAAAATATTCTTATTCATGATTCAACAAAATGTTTATTGATCAAATCAATCCCTCCCTATAGCTTCTCTGTTTCATGAAGTCATCAACTATGACTCTGATGTCCTAAATTGAAAATGTGACTCTTTGTAAATGTCCCTGAGTCCATGCTAATATAAATAACTGAGTGAATAAATAAGTGGGGAAAGATACACACATTTCCCACAGGGGAAATTACAGTAATTTATGCTGATACTTTGCCCTGAGTGGGTGAAGCATAACTCCCCATCTGTGCCAAGTGACTTCCTTCTGAAAAGCGCAGTATGGAAGTGGAGGGAAAGAGCTACCCTACAGAGGCAGCCTGGTTATGACGATCAGCACTGACAATGGCCAGCCATCTTTGTGTCAATAGTAAGTACTCTCCTCCCACCTTCTTTTTGGCTTGTTTTGGAGTTCAAACCCAGAGCTAAGCAAGAACTCTACCACTGAGCTTAATCCCCAGTCCCAATAGTATGTACCCTTGACATGGTGTGATAGAAAATGCCATTATACCTATATATCTACCATAACCTCAGTCCAATCATGAGGAAAACATCTGATGAATCCCAACAGAGGGACATTGTACTAACCACCTGATCAGTTCTCAAAACTCATCAAAAACAAAGTCTGCCCCGGGATGATGGTGCACACCTGTGACCTTAGCACTCAGGTGCCTGAGTCAGGGGGATCACTAGACTGAGACTAGGCTGAGCTATATAGTGGGACCCTCCCTCAAAAAAACAAACAAGACAAAACAAAACTGAAGTCTCAGAAACTCACAGCCAAAAGGAGCTTAAAGAAACATGCCAACTAAATGCAATGTCTTATCTTGGAAGAGAAAAATGACACTAGGTTAAAGCTAAGAAAATCTGAATGAAGTATGGCCTTTCATTAACAATGATACATCAATGTTAATATACATATTAAAATAAGAAAATAATAGGGGAAAGTGGGTGTAGGATATATGGGAACTCTCTGTCCTACCTTCATAATTTTTCTTTCAACCTAAAACTGTTCCTTAAAAAATTAAAATTGACCATTTTTAATCTCTCAAAAATATGACATAAATGTGAAATAGTTCTTAAAAAATCTTTGCATTCAAGAAGGAGCTTCAAAATAGACCATATGAATAAAATATGGCAAAAGCTGCAGAGAAATTGATTTTGCTAGAGAGCAAGAAAATAATACCCAGTACCTATATTTGATGATAAAAAAGATCAAAGAAGGAACATGCTGAGGAGAAGGCAATTATTCCAATCAGTCTCCTACTGCAGAAACCATAAATATAAAAATGAATCTGTGCTATGAATCTCTCAGAGAAAGGGAAAGTGGTCAATAGTTTACATTGAGCTTCTCTGCCCCACTGAGATGACATCCCTTCCAAAGGGGAAAAGTTTTCTGCCAATAAGAAATCATTCAGGTGTCTAAGAAAGACATTTTCTCAGGCATTTCCCAATCAAGTTTGACTGCTGGTCAATGTGTTAAGCAATTATGCTGCGTCATTTCTGCTCCAGAAGGTGGAGCACTGATCTAAAATACAGATGTAAGACAAGGCAGCAAAGTGGTTCCAGAAAGACAGTGCTCAAAGTAAATGCATAAATGTGGCTTGTCTCATGGAGGCTTTCAAAGCATTTTAAATCTCCTTGGAGATGAGTTTGTTTGACCTGATTCTCCTACCCATCATAAACACCCATTACTTCAACTGTTTTTATCCAGGCCAAAAGAACATTTCAGTGGGAGTCATAAAAATGATTATGTATCACTTTATTTTTATATGGCATTTCTCTTCCCGGAAGTCTAAAGGCCCTCTATTAACTTGCTCTATAGTTTGTATGTTGAAAGAAGTGGCATTGAAGTTCACTGTTCCAGTGAATTTATTACACAGATATGAATAGCATAAATTTTCTCCAAAATGTTCAGATGTAAAATTCATCTCTCATGGTTTATTCTATTTTTTGTTTTGTTTTGTTTTAAGGCAGGGTCTCATTATGTAATCTAGGCTGGTGTTGAACTCACTTAGCCCAGGCTGGCCTCAAATTTGTGGTAATCCTCCTGTCTCAGCCTCCTGGGTGCTGGGATTATGGGCATGTGCCACCAGGCCTGACTCACGCTTTATTCTAAAACAAATTGACATGACTCAGCCACATCATTTTTGTATCTAGTCTCCATGTATAAAACTCTAGGGATGAATTCTGATTGGGTTATCTTCAATCACATACTCATTTAAATCTCATTAGGGCCCAGGGATGTAGCTCAGTGGCACTGCTCCTGGCAAGCGCAAGGTCCTGAGTTCAATCCCCAGTACCATGAAAAAAAAAGGATTTAAATCTCATCATAGTGACCATAGGGTCGGGCCCATAAAGACCCACACTGGTTCATGTTCTCATATTTATGCATAATCAGTAATGTGGGGCAATGTAATTGGCCACTACCTACCTTCTCTTAGGTCAAGGAATCTCAACAAAATCTGAATTCTGTTAGATGGGAAGAAGAGAAAGATATACATGTTTTTAGGCACTATACAATGTCTGCCATACTATGTGTATCAGTTAGCTATTGGTGTATAACAAAGTACTCCAAAACCCAATGGCCTCAAATAATAGGGTAAGGCTGAGCTCAAACTTATGATCTTCCTGGCTCAGCCTTTCAGAGTGCTGAGATTACAGGTTTTAACCACCACAGCCAGCTTACAAAATGGAATTTTATTACCTTCATGATTACATAACCCCACACTTATACAATCAAATCATTTGGACTACTGCATTTTCTTAGGGTTTTTTCAATACTTATGCTACACACTCACACAGATACTGTTGAGATAGAAAAATAAAATGGCTTACAGACAGATGAGACAGCAGTCCAGGGTAATGTTGGCCGAGAGCAGTTTTATTTTTTTCAGCCCAAGCAAATTCCTCCTTGGCAGACCCTGCCCTGAACTGATGCCCACTCCAAGTACAGGTCTCCCTTATCTATTCCTCTTTGGCAGACCCTACCCTGAAGAG